TTCAATTGGGCACAGAGTGCCTGGCTGGGCTGCTTATCATTCTCTGCAAATGAAAAATTAGTATTTTACAAATGTTAGCTTGGTCATTTTTTTCTAGGCTGTCCCTAATATTCCCCTTTAAGAAGAATCCCATACATAAATCATATATATATATATATATATATGCGCAATATTTTACAGAGACTGAGACATACGTCAGCTTCCTGTCACACAGGATGAATCAATATAGCACAAGGATATATTACAGGCAGGAAGATGGTAAAGCCATTCCTGAATACCAGCGCTGCTTTTGGGGGACAAGTCTGTCAGTTCTCTGGACAGAAAACAGCTATTACCATCTTAAGGAAAATTTAGGTTTTTAAAGTATCACTTCACTGTGAAAAGAAAAAGCATTACTGCAATTAAAACTTGGAAAATATGTAAATACTCAAACTAGTAAATGTTCTTTAACATTTAACATTACCACATTCAAGTATACCCAACCTCTCCTTCCAAGGTATTTGGGCCAGAATTAATGGATTCCTTTAAACCTGGGAGAAATGGACTTACATACAGCCTCATGTCCATGAAAGCAGTGAAGAGCACTTTGGAAGGGATACTGGGATTTTCATATATTTAAACACAGATGCTTTGGGATGAGGGAAACTTGGTTGTGCAAGGCTACATTTTGCTCTAGGCCCTGTCCTCAGGAATAAAAGGAGCCCAAATCACCTGCCCCGATCTTATGCTCTGGTTCTATTTCCTTATAATTCAGACTCAGCTCTTTGACTCAACTGCAAGGAGTGTCAGGGAACTCACACACTCTATAACCCTTGTCATGAAGTAGGAGAAAGAGAGGTACAGAAACATAAATGTGTCTTTTTCAAGCCTACTTCGCCAGCATCAGCAAGGTTGAATGGTACAGGTTCGCCAAGGCGTTCAGATGATGGGCTGGCCTGTTATTCTACTAAGTTAAGTCCATTAAATCAACTGCCTATTAGTGTCCTGATGCTAGGGGAGGTCCTAGAGAAAAGTCTTGCAACAATGACATCATCATGTCTTAATTTTTTTCTTCTCACAGGAAGAGTTAAGCTAAAATCAGTTCTTAAGCAAATTATACCAAGTGGGCCCTTTTCTCAAAAGAGAATGAGGAGAACCCCCTAATACCATAAAGAACCATAAACTCTAAAGGGATCACTAGTCTGATCATTTTTGGTTATAGCTGAGAATGGGGAGAAATTTGTCTATCATGGTAAGAGTCATAATTATGCTCCAGGAAATGACTACAGGAAGCCAGACTACTTCCATTCCTGTGGAAGCATCCAGAACCAACGCAGCTTGGCTGACAAAACTGAGCACAGGGACCAGGATGGAAACAGGAGAAGAACCCGAACAGTTAAAAAACAGAAAGCCTCCTGGTTGTCTCAGTGCTACAGTCAGACAAAAAAGATCTGCCAAGACTAGCCTAGGGAGAGGAGGCAGCACACATGCAGTAAGGCAACTGAAATGTTTTCTGGTGGATCAGAAACAGCTATGAATGGCTGGTTAGTTGCTGAAGAGGAAGGG